ACATACAATTGACGAAATATCATACTTTAAAAATAATGTTTAATTATATTTCACTCTTATTTTATTTATTTCCAATGGTTATAAATGAAAATTTCATTAAACACGAATTATGCATAAATTCAAATTATGGCTTACTCTAACTTGGTCAGTTTTGTAAATAGAAGAAAACTTTTGATACGAAAAAAAAAAAAAAATAATTTATTCGAATATATAGAGAGAAAAAAATAGTGTTTCCATTTAAAAAAATTTAAGTTGTATGCGCATGTGCACACCAAGAGTGTTAAAAATTTGAAATTTATCTGAAAATATGTATTTAGGTGCTCCCTATCCCCTCTCGAAAATCCCATTTCAATTGTAATGAATTTAATTGGCCCTTAAATAACTGTGGGTTGTTATATGTCTTTAAATCAACTACTCATTAACTAGGTATTATATTATAAATTAAATGATATTACCTCTCTCTGATCCTTGCCTGTTGAAACCGTAGTCAATATCTGAGGTATTAAATGCGATGACCAATAAAAACACTTTTTTCTTTAATTTACAATAATACTTATTAATTTATCCAACCTTTTTAACACACCTTAACGTGCATATATTTTAAGCATTTATAATTAATAAATCTTGTTGTATAGACGATCTGCGTAGTCTTTTGATGCTCGCTTTTGAACGTCTATACAAATAGACAACAATAACGCGTCTGAGCCCAGTGACTAAACACTAAAGACGGAGCTCTTTATATCTAATATTGTATGTGTGTGTGGGTGTGTATGTGTGTATGTATGTATCTTATCTTATTCTTAATGACTAACAATTATTATAATTATTTTATTATATATATATATATATATAGAATCTAAAAAGATATGATGGCTTAAGCGCACATCATTACAAATACAAGGCAATCCACCTGAGATTTTTAGTGTTACCTTAAATTGTGATCATATTATATTCACTTTAATGTTTATCGGCAAGACGATTGATTAACTTGGTTATATAGGTTAATTAAGATATTATACTCTGGCAGTCCAATGCTTTGTTATCGTATAGAATGGTAACAACTCTATTTAGTATATCACTTTTAATATTATACAATATTGACTGATTAAAGTTAACATTATTCGGATAATGTTGATATTTCATGTTTATAAACGAAAAATTACACATTAGCCAAAACGAATGGCTAATGCCGACTTTATCCAAATTCCAACATTACTCGTAACAAATACACGAGTATCATCATTATTTTTATGATGTCATAATTACTTTTTTGAATAAAATTTTATAAAACGATACAATTTACCTGTATTGAAATTTGAAATAACAAAATATATTTGTGTATTTAGGGGTTCGCTTTCTTATAACACTTAAAACCGGGTTTCTATTAAATATTGATCATGCGCCTATTGGCTGTATGTAAACTGCGGCAAAATTTACCTTTTTCTAAAAGTCGATGTGTAAGCTGCGGCAAAAAAAATTAAGATTATACAATCTGCGACAAAACCGATAAGATACATCATACAAACTGCGGCAATGTATTTTATATACTTTCTATATATACTACGTATACGTATCGTTACGATAATCTATATACACGT